CCGGTTCGATAGCGAGATTTTAATTTGAGGGTCGGAATGGAATTCTGGAAGTTGGAGTAGCTCCGTAGAGTTGAATGTGACGTGTGTGCAAATTTCAGGTCATTCGGACGAGGTTTGATAGACTTTTTGATCGAAAGCGCATTTTTAGTGTTTTTGGAATTCTTAGGCTTGAATGCGATGAGAAATAGGTGTTTTGATGTTATTTTGAGCGTTCCGAAGGTTGGAACAAGTTTGAATGATGTTTTAGGATTTCTTGGCAAGTTTGGTTGAGGTCCCAGGGGCCTCGGGTGTGTTTCGGATGCCCAACGGGTCATTTTGGAACTTGTTAGAATTGCAGAAAATCTGGTATCTGGTTTCCTTAATTGCGTTCACGCCCTTCCCTCCGTGTTCGCGTAGTGTAATTTCGGAGGATGTTTAAATTGTTCTTCGCGATCGCATGAATTGGCTCGCGATCGTGTAAGTTTTCCCCCTCCTCATTTGCGTTCGCGTAGTAGAACTAGGAGCCAGGGGTACAGTGACCTTTACCCCTTCGCGTTCGCATTGCCTTGTCCGTGAACGCGTAAGCCTGCCCCTTTCCTCTTCCGCGTTCACGTGCTTCATCTCGCATTCGCATAGCCCAGTTCAGGAGCCATCAATTTTTCCTCTTCGTGATCGCACATCATGTTTTGCGATCGCGATGAACAAAACACCTGAGCAGATTTTTAAAACCCAAAATTGAGGGTTTGAACCATAATTCATATTTTGGACTTGGGAGCTAGGGAGATTGCGATTTTTGAAGAAATTTCACCTGGGCGATTTATGTAAGCAATTCCTACTCGGTTTAGACTAATTTCCATGAATCTACACTTAAATCCATCCTTTAATTTCGAAATTTTGGTGGAAATTGGGGGAAAAGTTCTTAGACCAAGAAATTGAGTTTTGATTGGGGATTTGACATCAGATTTGGATAATTTGATATGGTTAGACTCGTGAGAGTGTGAGGATTCTGAAAATATAATTTTTACCCGATTCCGTGACGTGGGCCCGAGGGGCGTTTTGGTCGTTTTACATAATTTCGCGCATTAGCTTAGACTTTAATTGTAGAATCAGTTATTTGAAGTGTTATTCACATTATGCAATTGAATTGAATAGATTTGGGCCATTTGGAGTCGATTACTCGTGGTAAGAACGTGGTCTCGGTTTGATTTTGAGTTGGTTCGAGGTAAGTGGCTTGTCTAACTTTGTGTGGGGGATTTTTCCCTTAGGATTGGTATATTTGGTAATTAAAATGCCTTGTACGTGAGGTAACGATTGCGTACTTGTGCAAATTATTGAAAATCCAGTTTTTATTAAGTAATTACTAGTATGTTTCCTTTCCTATTTTTATTACTTGTACTATTAAGCCTGTTGTTAGCTTAGGAAGTCATGTCTAACTGATTTAATTGCTTTATTTGTTCAACATGCTTTTCTTGAATTTCGTGCAACATGCTAGGCTAGAATTACTTGTTGCCTTAATATGAAATTTTCATTTCTAAATATTTTCCTGTTGCTGCTGTGTATTTACATTGGGACTACAGATGTGGGATTCCGGTAGCACCCCTTTGTCTGTTTATTTGGGACTATGGTTGTGGGATTCCGGTAGATCCCCCTTGTCTATTTATTTGGGACTACAGATGTGGGATTTCGGTAGATCCCCCTGCACAGTTATATGGAACTACGGGACTGCACAGGTAGATTCCTCTAGTACCGGGTATTTATATTTGGGGACTACAGATCGGGATTCTGGTAGATCCCCGCGCACTGATAGTTGGACTAAGGGACGGGATCCCGGGAGATCTTTCGGATATATTGGATGGACTATGGGACGGTATCCCGGGAGATCCACTGGACAGTTGTAATTGGGACTACAGGACGGTATCCTGGAAGATGCTCTGTTGTTATCTCTGTGTTGAGCTGTATTTTCTTCCCATGATTTATTTTGTCTCTATTCTAGTTGTTGTTGTTCTTTCAATCCTATGTTATTTCTTGTTGTTGCACTTATTTATACTGTTTTATTCCACAGTGTTAACCCTTATATCTTATTTAATCTCAGTAGGGCCCTGACCTTCCTCGTCACTACCCAACCGAGGTTAGCCTTGGCACTTACTCAATACCGTTGTAGTGTACTCATGGCCCTTCTGCGCATGTTTTTCATGTGCAGATCTAGGTACCGCTACTCAGGCCTACCATCCTTAAGGGAGGCAATTGCTCTAGAGACTTCGAGGTACATTTGTCGCGTCCGTATACCGAGGAGTCTATTTCTATTCCTGCTTTTTAGTACTTAACTCTTTTGTATTTTCTGTTCTTATTAGACATTCCGGAGTTAGTGCTATGTAGTACTTCTTAGCTTGTGATTCGTGGGATTCCGGGTCTTGGATTTATGCATTGGTATTGAGAGTTAAACATGGTGTATGCCGAGCGGCACATTTACACACTGTTATTACTTTATTTCGCAAATTTTGGTTTTTCTTTTGCAATTTAGGCTTACCTAGTCGTAGAGACTAGGTGCCGTCACGATGGTTCATGGAGGGAAAACCAGGGTCGTGACAAGTTGGTATCAGAGCACTAGGTTCATAGGAGTCATGGATCACAAGCCGGTTTATTAGAGTCTCACTAATCGGTACGGAAACATCTGTACTTATCTACGAGAGGCTACGAAACTGTTAGGAAAATTTCACTTCATTTGATTTCCTTGTCGTGCGATATTTTGACATCACAATTCTAAACTTCTATCTTCTATTCTCTCACAGATGGTGAGGACACGTGCTACTCGAGATGAGCAGGTACCCGCGCTCCCTACTGTAGTCGTCAAAGGCCGGGGCCGGGGTAGAGGCTGAGGATGTCCACATGGTGCAGCCAGAGCACCTGCGCAAGCTGCCGCCGAGGTACCACTAGCAGTTCCAGCCGGAGTCCAGGCACCTGACACGCCTATTGCTACCACTACTCCAGCTCTTCAAGAGACTTTAGCACAGTTCATGAGCATTTACACCACTCTGGCTCAGAAAAAGGTTTCTTCCCCTTGCTGCAGCTACATCTTAGGCCGGGGGAGGAGCACAGACTCCCGCCGCCCGCACTCCTGAGCAGCGAGTGCATGTTGAGCAGGTCCCTGAGATTATTCATGTACCGCCTGCAGTGCCAGTTCAGCCCGAGGACAGGGCAGCGGCTTCCAAGGAGGAGGAGCTGAGGCTTGAGAGGTTCAAGAGGTACAAGCCTCATGTATTCAGTGGTCTAGCATCAGATGATGCTCTGGGATTTCTAGATGAGAGTTACCGCATTCTCCGTACCATGGGTATATCAGGATCGAGCAGGGTTTCCTTCACTACTTTCCAGCTTCGAGAAGCCACCTAGGAGTGGTGGCACACCTATGAGTTGGACAGTCCGGATGAGGCTGCTTCACTGACTTGGACTCAGTTTTCAGATCTGTTCTTGATAGAGTATGTTCCTTAGAGCCTTAGGGACGCATGGAGTGCAGAGTTTGAGCATTTGCGCTAGGGTACTATGACTGTCTCAGAGTATGCCGTCTGTTACACCAGTTTGTCTAGGCATGCACCAGCCTTGGTTTCTACTGTTCGCGAAAGGGTTCGCCGGTTTATTGAGGGCCTTATTCCTAGCATCAGGTCTAGCATAGCTCGTGAGTTGGAGATGGATATTTCTTATTAGCAGGTGGTGAGCATTGTTAGGAGGATTAAGGGCATGTATGCTAGGGATAGAGAGGAGAGGGAGGCCAAGAGGTCTCGAGAGTCGGGCCATTTCTCTGGTGCCCGTGCCCCAGTAGCAGGTTGTTGTGGTAGGGGTTATATGAGTCGCCCTATTCATTCAGCTCTTCCAACAGCCAGTGGTATTCCAGCTCCTCCTAGACCTTAGGAGCCTTATTATGCACCTCCAGTATTTAGCGCGCCTCCTGGGTGGGGTACTTTCAGAGGTCAGTCCAGTAGACCTGGTCTGAGCCAATCACAGCCACCACGTCCTCCCAAAGCTTGTTTTGAGTGTGGTGACACACGACATATGGTGAGGGATTGCCCCAGACTTCGGAGGGGTGCACCTTCACAAACTTCTCAGCCACAGCGTGCCCCGCAGAGTTCTCATGTTATGGTTACAGCTCTAGTTGCTACCCCACCTGCTCATCCAGCTAGAGGTGGACGTCAGGGAGGTAGAGGTTGCCCTAGAGGGGGAGGCCAGGCCAGATACTATGCCCTTACGCCTGTACTGAGGTTGTTGCCTCCGATTCTATCATCACATGTATTATACTAGTTTATCACAGAGATGTATCGGTTCTATTCGATCCAAGATCCACTTATTCTTATGTGTCTTCTTATTTTGATCTGCATTTGGGTGTACCTCGGGATTCTTTGAGTTCTCCTGTTTATGTTTCTACTCCTGTGGGAAATTCTCTTGTTGTGGATCGCGTTTATCAGTCGTGTTTGGTTGCTCTTAGTTGTTTTGATACTAGAGCCGATCTATTGTTGCTCAGCATGGTAGATTTTATTATTATCTTGGGCATGGACTGGTTGTCTCCCCATTATGCTATTCTTGATTGTCACGCCAAAACCGTGACGCTGGATATGCTAGCTGTACTACGTGTTGAGTGGAGGGGTACTTTCGATCACACTCCCAGTAGAGTTATTTCTTTTCTTAAAGCTCATCATATGGTTGAGAAAGGGTTTGACGCGTATTTAGCTTATATGAGAGATGTCAGTATTGATACCCCTTCAATTGATTTAGTCCTAGTAGTACGGGATTTTCCCGATGTGTTTCCAGCTGATCTTCTGGGCATGCCACCTGATAGAGATGTTGATTTTGGCATTGATCTGTTGCCGGGCACTCATCCCATTTCTATTCCTCCATATCATATGGCTCCTCCTAAGTTGAAGGAGTTAAAGGATCAGTTACAGGAATTGTTTGATAAGGGTATTATTCGGCCCAGTATATCACCTTGGGGTGCTCCTATCTTGTTTGTGAAGAAAAAGGATAGTTCTATGCATATGTGTATTGATTATCGCCAGTTGAACAAAGTGACAGTTAAGAACCGTTATCCTTTGCCTTGTATTGATAATCTGTTTGACCAGCTTCAGGGTGCATGGATGTTTTCTAAGATTGATTTGCGCTCAGGTTACCATCAGTTGAAGATTTGGGAGCCAGATATCCCAAAGGCTGCTTTCAGGACTCGGTATGGTCATTACGAGTTCCTTGTCATGTCATTTGGGCTGACAAATTCCCTAGAAGCCTTTATGCATTTAATGGATAGTGCATTTCGGTCGTATCTCGACTCGTTCGTTATTGTCTTTATTGATAATATTCTGGTGTATTCCCGGAGTCAGGAAGATCATGAGCAGCACCTGAGGATTGTGCTTCAGATTCTGAGAGAGAAGAAGTTATATGCTAAGTTTTCGAAATGTGAGTTTTGGTTGGATTTAGTGGCATTCTTAGGCCATGTGGTATCGAGTGAGGGTATTCATCTAGATCAAAAGAAGATAAAGGCCGTGCAGAGTTGGCCCAGACCATCCTCAGCTACCGAGATCTGCAGTTTCCTTGGTTTGGCGGGCTATTACCGTCATTTTTTGGAGGGGTTTTCATCGATTGCGGCCTCTATGACCAGGTTGACCTAGAAGGGTGCTCTGTTCCAGTGGACGGAGGAGTGTGAGGTGAGCTTTCAGAAGCTCAAGACAGCTTTGACTACAACCCCAATTTTGATACTGCCTACAGGCTTGGGGTCTTATACGATCTATTGTGATGCCTCAAGGATTGGCCTCGGAGCGGTGTTGATACAGGACGGTAGGGTGATTGCCTACATGTCCAGACAGTTGAAAATACATGAGAAGAATAATCCGGTCCACGACCTTGAGTTAGCTACCATTGTTCACACCCTAAAGATATGGCGTCATTATTTATACGGGGTTCCCTATGAGATTTATACTGACCATCGGAGCCTGCAGCACATGTTCAAGCAAAAGGATCTAAATTTGTGCCAGTGGAGGTGGTTAGAGTTGTTGAAGGACTATGATATCACTATTTTGTATCACCCGAGCAAGGCCAATGTGGTAGCCAATGCTTTGAGTCGCCGGGCAGAGAGTTTGGGGATTTTGGCTTATTTACCAGCATCGGAGAGACCTATGGCAATGGATTTTTAGGCCTTATCCAGCCAATTTGTGAGATTGGATCTTTTGGAGCCCAGTCGGGTTCTAGGTTGCGTGGTTTCTTAGTCTTGCTTATTCGATCGTATCAGGGAGCGACAGTATGACGACCCGTATTTGCATGTCCTTAAGGATAAGGTTCAGCGTCGTGATGCTAGAGATGTGACTATTGGTGATGATGGGGTATTGAGGATGCAGGGCCGGATTTGTGTACCCAATGTTGATGGGCTTCGGGAGTTGATTCTGTATGAGGCCCATAGCTCGCAGTATTTCAGTCATTCGGGTGTCGTGAAGATGTATCAGGATTTGAGGCAGCACAACTGGTGGAGACAGATGAAGAAAGATATAGTTGGATTTGTAGCTCGGTGCCTCAACTGTCAGCAGGTGAAGTATGAGCGCCAGAGACCGGGTGGGTTGCTTCAGCAGATAAAGATTCCGGAGTGGAAGTGGGAGCAGATCACCATGGACTTTGTAGTTGGGCTCCCACGGACTTTGAGGAAGTTTGATGTTATTTGGGTGATTGTGGATCGATTGACTAAGTCCGCTCATTCCATTCCTATGTGTACTACTTATTCTTTGGAGCGGTTGGCGGAGATTTATATCCGGAAGATTGTTCGTCTGCATGGTATTCCAGTGTCCATCATTTCAGATAGAGGTACTCAGTTCACATCATGGTTCTGGAGAGCCGTTCAGCATGAGTTGGGTACTCGGGTGGAGTTGAGTATAGCATTTCACCCTCAGATAGACGGACAGTCCGGGCGCACTATGCAGATTCTTGAGGATATGCTCCGTGCGTGTGTGATTGAATTTGGAGGGTCTTGGGATCAGTTCTTGCCATTGGCGGAGTTTGCTTACAACAATAGCTATCAGTTTAGCATTCAGATGGCACCGTATAAGGCTTTATATGGGAGACGGCGCAGATCCCCGATGGGTTGGTTTGAGCCGGGTGAGGCCAGATTATTAGGAACAAACTTGGTTCAGGATGCTTTGGAGAAGGTCAAGGTGATTCAAGATAGACTCCGTATAGCCCAGTCCAGACAGAAGAGTTACACAGACCAGAAGGTTCGTGATGTTTCCTTTATGGTTGGAGAGCGGGTTCTACTTCGGGGTTCGCCTATGAAGGGCATTATGAGATTCGGGAAAAAAGCAAAGTTGAGTGAGATTTATTGGCCCTTTTGAGATATTGAGGCGTGTTGTGGAGGTTTCTTATGAGCTTGCCTTACCTCCCATCTTGGCTGGAGTTCATCTGGTGTTCTATGTTTCGATGCTCTGGAGGTATCACAGTGATCCATCGCACGTGTTGGATTTTAGTTTAGTCCAGTTGGACAAGGATCTATCTTATGTTAAGGTGCCAATGGCAATATTGGACAGGCAGGTTAGAAAGCTAAGGTCAAAGAACATTGCATTCGTGAAAGTTCAGTGGTGGGGCCAGCCAGTCGATGAGGCAACCTGGGAGACCGAGCAAGATATGCGCAACTGTTACCTTCATCTTTTCACTACTTCAGGTATGCCATTATGCTCGTTCGAGGACAAACGAATGTTTAAGTGTAATAGAATGTGACGACCCGGCCAGTCGTCTTAAGAATTTACACCTCAATCCCCTATTAACTATTTTCCCCAAGTTTATTTCTGCTAATTTGATTTGCCGGGATGTTCGGTTTTGAGTTTCGGAGAGTTTTGGGACACTTAGTCCCTAAATGAGAGCTTAAGTGTTGGAGAGTTGATCGTAGTCGTAACAGTGTGAAGATGGCTTCAGAATGGAAATCTGATGGTTCTGTTAGCTCCGTTGGATGATTTTGGACTTAGGGGTGTGTTCGGATTGTATTTTGGAGGTCCGTAGCTAATTTAGGCTTGAAATGTCAAAAGTTGAATTTTTGAAGTTTCCGATTCGATAGCGATATTTTGATCCGAGGTTCGGAATGGAATTTCGGAAGTTGGAGTAGCTCTATAGTGTTTAATGTGATTTGTGTACAAAATTTCAGGTCATTCAGACGAGGTTTGATAGACTTTTTGATCGAAAGCGTATTTTTAGAGTTTTTGGAATTCTTAGGCTTGAATCCGATGAGAAATAGGTGTTTTGATGTTTTTTTGAGCATTCTGAAGGTTAGAACAAGGTTGAATGATGTTTTAGGATTTCTTGGCACGTTTGGTTGAGGTCCCGGGGGCCTCGGGTGTGTATCGGATGCCCAACGGGTCATTTTGGAACTTGTTAGAATTGCAGAAAATCTAGTATCTGGTTTCCTTAATCGCGTTCACGGCCTTCCCTTCGCGTTCGTGTAGTGTAATTTCGGAGGATGTTTAAATTGTTCTTCGCGATCGCATGAATTGGCTCGCGATCGCGTAAGTCTACACCCTCCTCCTTCGCGTTCGCACCCATCCTTTCGCGTTCGCATAGTTGAACAAGGAGTCGGGGGTACAGTGACCTTTTCCCCTTCGTGTTCGCATTGCCTTGTCTGCGAACGCGTGAGCCTACCCTTTTCCTCTTCCGCGTTCGCTTGCTTCATCTCGCGTTCGCATAGCCCAGTTTAAGAGCCATCAAGTTTTCCTCTTCGCGATCGCACGTCATGTTTCGCGATCGCGATGAACAAAACACCTGGCAGATTTTTAAAACCCAAAATCGAGGGTTTGAACCATAATTCATATTTTGGACTTGGGAACTCGGGAGATTGCGATTTTTGAAGAGCTTTTTACCTGGGCGATTTGGGTAAGTAATTCCTGGTTGGTTTAGACTAATTTCCATGAATCTACACTTAAATCCATCCTTTAATTTTGAAATTTTGGTGGAAATTGTGGGAAAAGTTCTTAAACCAAGAATTGAGTTTTGATTGGTGATTTGACATCGGATTTAGATAATTTTTATATGGTTAGACTTGTGAGAGTGTGAGGATTCTGAAAATATAAATTTTACCCGATTCCGAGATGTGGACCCGAGGGGCATTTTGGTCATTTTACATAATTTCGTGTATTAGCTTAGACTTTAATTGCAAAATCAACTACTTGAAGTGTTATTCACATTATGCAATTGAATTGAATAGATTTAGGCCATTTGGAGTCGAGTACTCGTGGCAAGAACGTGGTCTCGGGTTGATTTTGAGCCGGTTCGAGGTAAGGGGCTTGTCTAACCTTGTGTGGGGGACTATCCCCTTAGGATTGGTATATTTGGTAATTGAAATGCTTTGTATGTGAGGTGACGAGTACGTACTTGTGCAAATTGTTTGAAATACGATTTTCATTAAGTAATTACTAGTATGTTTCCTTTCCTGTTTTTATTACTTGTACTATTAAGCATGTTGTTAGCTTAGGAAGGCATGTCTAAGTGATTTAATTGCTTTATTTGTTCAACCTACTTTACTTGAATTCTGTGCAGCATGCTAGGCTAGAATTACTTGTTGCCTTAATATGAAATTTCCATTTCTGAATATTTTCCTGTTGCTGCTGTGTATTTACATTAGGACTACGGATGTGGGATTCCGGTAGCTCCCCCTTATCTGTTTATTTGGGCCTACGGATGTGGGATTCTGTTAGATCCCCCTTGTCTGTTTATTTGGGACTACGGATGTGGGATTCTGTTAGATCCCCCTTGTCTGTTTATTTGGGACTACGGATGTGGGATTCCGGTAGATCCCCCTGCACAGTTATAGGTAACTACGGGACTACACCCGGTAGATTCCCCAGTACCGGGTATTTATATTTGGGGACTACAGATCGGGATCCCGGTAGATCCCCGCGGACTGATAGTTGGACTACGGGATGGGATCCCAGGAGATCCTTCAGATATATATGATGGACTATGGGACGGTATCTCGTGAGATCCACTGGACAGTTGTAATTGGGACTACAAGACGGTATCCTGGAAGATGCTCGGTTGTTATCTCTGTGTTGAGCTGTATTTTCTTCCCGTGATTTATTTGTCTCTATTCTAGTTGTTGTTGTTCTTTCAATCCTATGTTATTTCTTGTTGTTGTACTTATTTATAATGTTTTATTCCACGCTGTTAACCCTTATATCTTATTTAATCTCAGTAGGGCCCTAACCTTCCTCGTCACTACCCAACCGAGGTTAGGCTTGGCACTTACTCAGTACTGTTGTGGTGTACTCATGCCCCTTCTGCACATGTTTTTCATGTGCAGATCCAGATACCTCTACCTAGGCCTACCATCCTTGAGGGAGGCGACTGCCGCGTCCGCAGACCGAGGAGTCCTTTTCTATTCCTACTTTTTAGTACTTAGCCCTTCTGTATTTTCTGTTCTTATTAGGCATTCCAGAGTTAG